ATAAAATAATAATTAATTAAAATATTAGAAAATGGATTTATAATAAGGTAATGGTTAATTAATTATATTAAAAAATGGGTTTATAATAAAATAATAATTAATTAAATATATTAGAAAATAGATTTAATTTAAAGAAGTTAAAATATGTTAATTAATTTATTTAATAATTTAAAAAAATTAAAACTTAAATCCACGGTTTAAAAATTATAAAGTTATTAATTAAATAAAATTAAATTGTTAGTAATTTAATTATTATTAATAAGATTTTAAAAATAGGAGTAGTTTTTAAATAAATTGGTTAAATTTAAAATTTTCAAGGTTTTAAACGTTATAAATTTGTTTTATAATATTTATAATCTAGGTTTTTATAAAATAATTAATAAAAGATTTATTATTTTAATTATTTAAAATAAGTAAATAAAAGAAAAAACCATAGGATAAATTAATTATAATTTTTGGGATAAAAGGTATAATATAATATTATATTAAAAGCCTTTAAATTATTAGTAAAATGGAGCTACCAAATATTAAGAATTATTATAAATAGAAAATTAATGTTATATTAATAAAAAAACAAAGTTTTCTTAATTTATAAAAATAAAAAATAAGTTAAACTATCTTATTTATGTTATTGTTATTATAATCTCATTACGTAATCTCATCATCGAGTGGAGCTACCAAATGTTAAGAATCATTATAAGTAAAAAGTTAATGTTATATTAATAAAAAAAACGAAGTTTTTTTAATTTATGGAAATAAGAAATAAGCTAAGCTATCTTATTTACGTTATCGTTATCGTAGTCTCATTACGTAATCTCATCACTTTATATTAATTATTAATAAATGGATTAATATAATTATCGTATTAAAAATTTTTATTAAATTATTAAAATATTAAAATAATATTATTTTATAAGTTTAAAAATTAAATTATAAAATTATTTAAATAAAATTAATAATAAAAGATTATTTTAAAAGTTTTTATATAATATTAAAGTTTTTAATTAATTATATATAAGTATAAAACGGTATTATTAAATATTGTTGGATTGACTATGTATTACGTAATAATATGAAAGGGAATGCAAATAACGATCGTGTTCTGATTGGTTGTACTAAGGTAAGAGAGGAGGGGTTCCCCCGAGTGGGGAAAGATATCTATTGTACAGATGCGTGGGCTGTGCGTGGGCGGTGTGTGTGGGCATAACCCTGGTCATGTGACGAGGTCACGTGACCGTTATCCCAACAAATATTTAAAAGGTATAATTAAAGATAAAGTTAAAATTATAAAAATAAATGTAAAATTATCGCATTTATTATAATTAAAAATATATAAGATTACAATATATTTATATAATTATATATTATAATATAAATATAATTAATAATTTTTATATAATTATTTTATATATTTATGGTAATAAATAATAATATTATAATTGTTAAAGATCATTATGAGTGGAAAGTTAATGTTTTATTCATAAAAAAAACAAAGTTTTCTTAATTTATAAAAGTAAAAAACAAGTTAAGTTATTTTATTTACGTTATCGTTATCATAGTCTCATTACGTGATTTTATTAATAATTTAAAAAAGGAAATCTTAATAAGTTTATTTATAAATATATAATTATAAAGTTTATACATTAATAATAAACATTTTAAAAAAGGTTAATAAAAAATATTAATTAAACTTAAAACTTTAAATAAGCTTTTTAATAAATTATATAATTAATATATATAAGATTTAAAATTCTTATATAAATAAAGTAATAAAAATTTATAATATAATTTTTAATAAAAATAAATTATTTGATAAAAATTTTATAAAGTTAAGAAAAAAATTATATAATAATTTATTTTATATAAATATTAAAGAATATAATTATATACTTTAATTTATTTAAAATTCTTAATTAATTATTACTTAAATTATTAATAATAATATAATAAATAATAAATTTAAATATATTAAAGATATAAATATATTAAAATTAAATTTAACGTTATTAATAAATAACATATTAAATAAATCTAAGGTAATAAATAATATAATAAAAGTTAATTACCTTTATATAAATATTAAATTTATTATTATTAATAACTTTATTTATAATTATAATATATTTTATTTGATAAAAAATATTTATAAATTAAAACTTAATAAGTTATATTTAATATAAATAAATTAAAAAATTAAATAAGAATTTATTAAAGGTAAATAATTAATAAAATAAATAAAATAAAGTTATTTTATAATTTTTTTTATATAATCCAATTAGTTTAATAATATATTTTAAAATTAACCTTTAATAAATAAATAAATTTAAAAAGATATATTAAAAAAACCTTCCGGACCTTTTTAAAAATACGGTAACATTAAAAATTACCTTTATAAGATATTATTTAAAAAAGTTTAAAAGGTATATTTAAAAAGTTATTATTAAATAAAAATTTAAAAAAAGATTTTATAATTTAATTTTAAATATTTTACAAAATAAATCTATAATTAAATATAATTATTTATAAAAAGTTTATATATTTATTAAAAAAAAGGTTTTATTATTTATTTACGTTAATAATATTATTATAACATATTTTAAGATTAAAAAAAATAATATACCTTATTAAAAGTTTTAAATAATATTATTAATTTATTAAAGGTAATAATTTATAATAATTTTTAAATATTAAAATAATAAAAGATTAGAAAAAATAACTTATTTAATTAAGTTAATCTATATATATTAATAAAATAATTAATTGTATAAAATTTTTAAATTAAGTTTTAAATACTTTAATAATTAAAAAAGAATTATTCTTTTATAAGGAAATAACTTTATTTAAAAATATTTATTATTATTAATAACGTATAAGATTTATCTTATATATTATAATAATTACACGTTTAAATATAACTTTTATAACTTTATAATTTTTACAATTTAATTATAACCTTAATTTAAAACATTATAATATATTAAATTAAATAATTTTATACTTTAAAAATATACGAAAATATGCGTTATAATTAAAAAGGGATAATATTTTTAAAATTACAAGTAATATTTTATTTATTAATAATATTTATGATTAAAAAAGCTTTTAAATATATGTAATAAAATTATTTAAAAATATAATAAATTAAAAAGTTAATAAATAAAATATAATAATTATATTTATTATAAAAATTAAATTATTAACTTTATTATAAATAATAATAAAAATTATATTTATTATAAAGTTAATTTATATTTTTAAAATTAATTGTAATTGTAAGAAAGACCAGGTATGGGTAATAATTAGGTAAGGATTAAGTGTACACCAATAAGCGTACGGTAAAGGAAAAGGGAACACACGGTATTAAATGAGGCTATCACGATTTATTGTTGCTTGTTGTTAAGTTGTGTGTGTGTGGGTTAGCTTAAAAGGTAAACCCTTTTAAGCTTAGCCCCACGCACGTTGTGGCACGTGACTAGATTACATAATTGGCTATTCCCTATATTTCAACAGTAATAATAAATAAATAATTAAGTTAATTAATAAAGATATTAAAAAATTAAAGATTAAATTAAAGTATATAAATATATATAATTATTAATTGCGTTAAAAAGTTTAATAAAATTATATTAAAGTTTTTATAAAAAATTTATATAAATAATTTAAAATTTAATTAATTTTAATAAATATTAAAAAAATTTTATAAGTAAAGTAATTACGAAAATTAAATGGTAAAATAATTATAAAATAAGAAATATATATTAATAATAATTAAAAACGATTAAAAATCTTTTTTAAGTTAAAATTAAATTGTTAATAATTTAAATAATAAAAAAATATTAATATATTTTAAATTAAATTAATTTGTTAATTATATTTAAAAGAATATATTAAATTAATTAATTATATTAAGTAATTTAAAATCTTTTAATTTTATATAAAATAACGGTATAATATGTATTTTTACAATTTTACCTTAATTAATTAAATCATTAAAAATATTATTAATTAAATTAATAACTTTAAACGTATAGTAAAAATCCATTAAACGTATAATATATTCACTTTTACGTAAAATAACTTAATATATTACCATTTATTTAATTTATATTAAAATTAATATCGTTTTTTAATAAATTTATAATTTTATTTAATCGTATTATAATATTTATATTTAATTAAATATAAAATTTAAATTAAAGTTATTACCACTTTTTCGATAAGTTAATAAATAATAACTTTAATAACGGCTTTAACATAACCGTTTTAATAATAATATATATAATAATATACGATTTTTTTATCTTTAACGTTAACGCCAACGAGGCTTAATATTATATTTAACTTTTACGGGTTATAAAGCTTATAAAGTTATTAATAATGGTTTTTAAAGCTTTTTTAACAGTTTTAACAGCTTTAACAACTTGTAATTTAACGGTAACAAACGTTTATTATCTTTTTTTAACGACTTGTAAAGCAGTAAAATCAATGGCTAAATTAATATAACCAATTAAATTAATAACTTTAACTTTCGTATTATTACTTTAATTAAATATATAAGCTTATAACTTATATATACGTATTAAATTTAATTATAAATGTTAAAAATCATAGTAAGTAAAAAGTTAAAGTTGTATTTATAAAAAAAACAAAGTTTTTTTTAATTTATATAAGTAAAAAATAAGCTAAGTTATCTTATTTATACTATCGTTATCATAGTCTCATTACGTAATCTTATTAATAAATATATTAATTTTTATTTATTTAAATTTTATATTTAATTAAATATAAATATTATAATACGATTAGGTAAAACTACAAATTTATTAAGGAGCAATGTTAATCTTAATATAAATTAAATAAATGGTAGCATATTAAGCTATTTCACGTGAAAGTGGATGTGCTATACGTTTAGTGGATTTTTACTGTACGTTTAAAGTTACTGTAATTAAACCTTATATATCGCTTATTCAATACGTATTAGTTATGTAACACGTTCTTACAATTTTACCTCCATTAATTAAATTATTAAGAATATTATCAATTAAACCTCATATATCGCCCATTTAATACGTATTAGTTGTATGACAAGTCCTTAAAACCTTTTCCTTACACGCTCAAGCTGCAGGGATACCCATCGACCTGACCCGACCCAACCCGTCGGATATCCTCGCATTACATCGCAACCATATACTCAATCAACCTCACATTAAAAAAAAAAAAGGATAATGCCATCCCACCTCCAACAACCCTCAAAATGACAACCTCACCACCCGCCCCCCAACAACCACAACCACACCTACACCTCAAACCCCCCTCCTCGCCTCTCTTCCCACCAAACCCACCCCCCCTCCTCCTAACAATCCGCTTCAGCGCCTCCATCCCCGACCTCGACCTCGACATCCCCCACCCCTCCCTCACAACCGTCATCTCCCTCAAACACCTGATCCGCCAACGCCTGCAAGAGCCCAACTCCCAGCGCCGCCTGCGCTTCATCCACGGCGGCAAGATCCTCCCCGACAACGCCGCGCTAAGCTCCGTCTTGCGCGCCCCGCTACCACCACCTCGACCCGACTACGACTACGATGCCAAAGGCAAAGGCAAATCCGTCCCGGGCCGCCCCGAGCCCCCGCAGCGCATCTACGTAAACTGCTCCATCGGCGATAGTCTCACAACCGCCGAGCTCGAATCCGAAGCCATCGCCGCCGCCGCCCCGGCGCCCGCCCCATCCGACGCCTCCTCGCCGCTATCGCGCGCCGCGACTCCCCTCCCCAGCACGTCCGCCGCGCCGCGCGGGTTCGACCGCCTGCTCTCGGCGGGATTTACCGCCGCCGAGGTAAACCAGCTGCGCCTGCAGTTCCGCAGCATCCACAGCTCGCGCTTCACGCCGGACACCCTGCCGTCGCCGGATTCGTTCCGCCGGATGGAGGATGCGTGGATCGATGACAATGGCGCTTCGATGCCAGCTGCGGGTGCGCTTGGTGGTAACGCGGGAGCGGGAGGGTTGAGCAATGGCACGGATAGTGATGAGGTTGGACTGGTAGCTCTTGTCGATGTGATGATTCGCGGTGTAGTGACGGGGTTTATGTGGCCGCTCGGAAGCGCAGGGTGGCTTGTACGAGAGGAAGGCATGGCGAGTGGGCGGTGGAGATTTATGGTTGGCGTGGGTGTTATGTTTAGTGTTCTGATCGGGATTATTAGGAGTATGTCTGGCGAGAAATGATTGCTCGAAAAACCGGTATTGAAACTATTGCCCCGGATTGGAATGGATAGGTCTACGAATACGCATGGGAACGGCGTTGCATTTGCAATTATATCATGGCGGGGCGTTTTAGAGTAATGGCAGTATGAACATAGATGGACAAATCGTATCACGTTGGCAAAAGATCGGAAGACAAGCAAGCGGGTTGGGCATCGCCAACAATGGCGATACCCCCATTCACTATCTAAGCACACACTAAAGAATCCAAGGTCTCAAGAGATGGTCACGCTTCTTTTGAAGCGTAATGAAACCCTGTTAGGGCTGGTCTCCGTCATTGATCTCGAAACAAGTGGTATACCTCCCTTAAACTCCATGAATCATAATCGTAGGGTTCCAAGTAGCTGAGTATCAAATCCTCGTCCATCCACTTACCTTTGCATGATTATGCGTCGAAGAAAATCATCGAAAAAAGCCTGTTGGTGGAACCATATTACAAGTAGAGAGATTGAGCGGCTACGATATCACGACGAATCTTTGCTAAGCTCTCCTCGAACTTTGTCGTTAGCTCTTCGCTACCCATAACCTTTCCTGCTTGTGCCATCTGGCGAAGAAGCTCCTCGAGTCGGCGGAATAGACGAATCAGAGAACCCTCGTAAGCGTTGGTCATTTTGCTAGAATGTTTGTTAGGTTACGGGATAGATCACATTATCAGGACCACTTACCAGACTTCAGCAAATGACTTTCCGTTCGCCCAAGCATAGACAGTCTCCATAAGTTGCCATTTTAAGCTTTGGGCGTACTCCTCCTCATTTACTTCTAGTTTGCTCTCTTGACTGACTTTGGCAATGATACGGGCCTGGGCCTGTACCTGCGAATATGGCTTCTTTAACTCGTCGGGCAGAGCTTGTGCTTCAACCTTCTCCTCGAAAATGAATACGCTAAGAATGGCGGCGCATAGCTCTGGGGAGAGCTCGTTAAAGAATCGATTGAAGAGTAGTTCGGACAATAGCAGCTCGTGACCATCTGTTGAGGAAATCTCACAAGCTACACGAGCCTTCATCTGAACAATTTCGGATTCATTGATAAAGCCAAGACGACGGAGGACTCGCTTCCTCGACTTGAGTTCGTCTAGCTGCGCAATGGAATGCGCCTTGGCGATCTTCTTCTTGAGAGCCTTGATCTCCTCGTTGCGGGCAATCTTTGCCGAATACTGTTCCCAAAGACTAGGCAACATGGGTGAACCGTGAAGTGGGTTAGCGAGTAATCGCGACTCTAAAACTTCGATCTTGCGAAGAAGCTTCTTAAATGAGTCGTCTGTGATGTTCATGTTCTCAATAGGGTCCAAAATAGGTAATCCATCAGGGAATCGTCGCTCGACTTCCTTAAGCGCCTTGAGCGTCTGCTTACGAACCGCTTCAATATCCTCCCGGCTAGTCACATCCTTGGGCATGAACACTCGGATCTGGCTTAGAGCTTTAATACATGTGAGCATGCAGGGTACGACTTCAAAGATGCTGTCTTGGTTGGGATCACTAGCTCGAGCACCTTCTGGCATCTCAGTTGAGGGGTTGGCAGGTCCAAAAGGATCGCAAGCTGGGTCGAGGCGAAGGAAGACATCTATGAAATAAGACTCTTGGGGAGGATATTCCTTCTCGCCAAATTTCGGGTCCTTGCGCTTCGTGACGTTAACGACGACACCCCAGCCAAAATCCTTGCCCGTCTTTGGGTTAGCGATTTGCACAAGTCTTCCTGGTTGAAGATACTCGATACAATAATTGGGATGCTGGATGACAGCTAGCATATCCTTGGTGTACTGCGTAATTTGCTGACGTAAACCGTAATAATCCTTGACGGTGGCCTCGTCCGGAATTACCATCTCGTCTCGCGTTTTCTGTAGCTTCATCAACTCATGTTCTAGGCCAGCGACACTAGCGGTGTTCTGGAACTGGAAGAAGCAGTTCTCCAACATGAACTCGGGGTTGATGGCATCGATTCTGAGTAAGTTCAGAACCATGTTGTAACCCAGGTAAAAGGCGGAATTGAGTCTGTCCTGTTGACCAACGACGATGTTCTTGGCTATTTCTGGTTCCATTTTGTCATCAATCATCATGATGACGATGCCACGCTCGTCAAGACCTCTACGACCCGCACGTCCAGACATTTGAATATACTCGGACGGAGTCAAGGGTCGTGTAGAAGTGCCATCCCATTTCGAGACTTTTGTGAAGACGACCGTCTTCGCCGGCATGTTCAAGCCGATGGAGAATGTCTCAGTTGCGAAGAGAACCTTGATTAAACCCTCCTGGAACAGGATTTCGATGGTTTCCTTAAGGATGGGTAGAAGACCAGAATGATGGACGCCGATTCCCTTCTCTAAGAGAGGGAGAATATTTTGGATTTGTGGGAGTTCGCGATCTTCCTCCGATAGGGACTCGATAGCGCTCACAAATACTTTTCGTACCATAGCCTTCTCGCTATCGTCGTTGAAAGCAAATTTCGAAGTTGTTAAGGCCATCATTTCACACTCCCTCTTGCTGAAATTAAAAACAATCACGGGGTTGAAATTCTTGTTCATGATCATCTTCACGATCTTCTGAATGTCGGCTTGACTATCAGAATTGTTTCCCTTAAAGTTCTTCTTGTGCCTTCCCTTGCCCTTCTGCTTGGCATCGGGATCATTAGCATCAGCGGCCTTGCGCTCTTCTATTAGCTGCATGGTCTTGTTGAAGTTATGCTCTCGGAATACGCCTTTCTCATCCACAACCAGGAATATGCCTGATCCGCCAGCCGGGAAGAAGTAGTTTTGCAGAGGCGTCGGTCTGAAATCGGTATAGACGACATGACAGGCTTGCCGATGGATCTTTGCAATCCATTCGGCAAATTGGAAGGCGTTGGGAATGGTGGCAGACAGGAACACGTATCGGACCTTATCGGGAAGGAGAATAATTGTCTCTTCCCATACTACACCACGCGACTTATCTCGCATGTAGTGGATTTCATCGAAAACGACCCAGGCAACCTCTCGCATTATTTCGGATCCTCGATACAACATCGACCGCAAAATTTCGGTTGTCATGACAAGACAACTAGCAGTAGGATTGATGGTAACATCACCAGTCATGAGACCAACGTCGCCGAAAGCCTCGTTGAATTCTCGGTATTTTTGGTTACTCAATGCCTTGATCGGACTGGTATAGATGACACGCTGGTTCTGCTTGAGACAATGCGCAATGGCATACTCGGCTACGACAGTCTTTCCAGCACTCGTATGCGCCGACACTAGGACACTCTCATCTCGTTCAATAGAGGAGATCGAGAGGCGCTGGAAGGGATCAAGTGTGAATGGCCAGGTTCGTGCAGGGTTCTCTGGCGGTTTGTGTTCAGATAGCGGGACGTATTCGTAATCGAGATCCGGGGGAAGTGCGACTTGATGTTGAATATTGTGTGACAGAACTAGCGACGCCTCGTCTTTAGTCGGGGCAAATCCAGCTGCTGCCGCGATTTCTCTTGATTCTGCCGTCTCGAATGTATCTGTTAGTACGGGTTCGGCGACGTCGTTCTTGCGTCTTCGCTTGCTATCTCCCTGGTTATCGGACCCGGCATCTTCAGCATCGTCTTCCTCTGGTGACGTAGGCGCAATGTCCGTCATGTCGACTTCTGGCACGGAAGGAACAGATACAGCAGTCGTAGATCCATTTTTCATGCCACCGTCGGCCTTCCGCTTCTTGCTCTTCTTCTTGGATGTACGTGGTTTCGCAACTGAAGAAGGTTGAGGTTCCAACTTGACCTTGCTGGAGGGCTGATCCTCGAAAACGTTGAAGAGCTCATCCATTGTGAACGGGTACTGAATCGTCACTCAATAATAGTGCAATTAATCGCGAGAATTGAGAAAAGTTTTCGTGAAGGATTATAGCGCCGGGTTCCCCAACAAAATTAAAGGAATCCTTAAGGACCCGACCAATATTAGGATTAAATAATTTCCCCAACTGTGAAGAGTTGATGGGTGCTTTTGTAAAAGAGAACGTGAACTTTTCTGGAGATGGCAGCAGCAGAAAAAAAACGGGTCATGGCAGAAAAATCAAGCAAGGAGTGGGACAGCAGGAATAATAGAAGAGAAAGGGCAGGCGGTCAAGTGGGGGACCTGCCTTCAATGCAGTTGTGTACCTGTGTACATACCTAACGGCAGCTGCAGCTTCCAATGCACTACTGTTACACAGGCCGAGGATTAACCGTGCTTCGGGCCAGAGCCGCAGCTATCATCGTTCGATGATTCCATGGAAGTTTTAATCAAAGGCTCGAAGCTTTGAAGTACATAAAAGAAACATTCTCTCCACTCCTCAAAACCGACGCAATCTCTATAATCAAGGTAAACTATAGACTGCCTAACCAACCTCATAGACGAATCTCTAGAAAGCTAATTGATACGCCCAGATGGTCGCCCAACCCGCCGTCCGCGCCGCCCCGCGCATCACCTCAATGATCACCCGCCGGGCCTTCCACGCAACCCGCGCCCGCCTCTCCTCTCCGTACCACTACCCCGAGGGGCCCTACTCGAACTTGCCCTTCAACACCAAGACCCGATTCTTCGCTCTGCGATACTGGGGCTACATGTTCACCGGCTTCTTCGCGCCCTTCGGCATTGCCAGTGCGTTATTTCCTTTCGCCCGGCTGCTTAGATAGTCATGATATCATATACTGACGTGTGCAATATAGTCTGGCAAACCAAGAAGCCCAAGGCCTAAGTTATGGCGATTGGTTGAGAATAAGCTCGCGGGAAGCAGGTCGAGATAGAGTATCACCTAGGCGGGGACGGCAAAGAGCACGATGCAAGTTGTACATACATTTGATAATAGACATTGAGGCCATCGCCGAACATAATCTCATATGTTTTGATCAACTTGACGTTAAGCCATGATGTTCAGTATGTTTGAAACTCAATTTCAGACGGTTAACCCGACTCGTAAATTTATCATCTGATCTCGGAACTATACGAACTGTCGTTAAGGGACTTATCAAAATTTACAGGCTATACGTATCCGACTGAGCTAAGTACGATCTCTCGCTCGTTTTCTCATTAGACTTCGGCCGCAAAGAAGTTTGCGTATCCTTGTGAAGTGAGTTTCTTCGGTTGATGTCCGAATCGTAGTATTCTAATATGTATTTACAGGCAAGTCTATTTTATCGTAATATGTACATGTAAGTGGTATCATTCGTCCGCAGTCATCGCCCCTACCCATTATTTTACACCTATATATGACCCGTTTTGATTCTCCATGTCATAATTACATGCCTCCGGATCCTGCAAGGAAATTATCTTGTTGCATGATCTTTTTCAGGAAATCTATCATGAATTGCGAACTTGCTGTGTCCAGATCCCATCTAGACCTTAGGCTTTCGTATATATCCAACATCTGATTTCGAGTTGAAAATCTGGAGAAGGCTCTCAAAACAGCCATAGCCATCCATGTACTAATATAAAACCCTTCAGTCCCAGAGTCGAGGGCATCTAAGAAGGCGTTCCATACACTAACCAACCTCTCCGCTGACCAATCCGATCCGGCACCCCCGTGCCTACCGAATGCCTTGAAAAGTGCAAGGAAGATGGCGCCGTGGAGTTGAACTTCGAAAAATTTCATCTCGTCGAGGAACTGTGCGACTTTAGAAAGATCCCCTAATCTCGGGCCATAGTAGTTGATAAGGAGGCGGTAGGTTTGCAAGTCCGGCGAGATCAGTGCGGTTTGCTGAAAACTCGGACGCATTTCAGGATACTTTTTTGCTACCCTCGCAAACATCATAAGCACCTTGGTAATATTCTTCTGCATCGAGTAGTTACGATCTGGCAGCACCTTGGTCCCTCCAGCTGAAATTTTCATTTTTTCGTAGACTTTCTCAGCAGAATCTTCTTCCCCGGCTGTCAGAAATCCAGATATGACGCTATTGAGTACGATCGAGTCGATCACTTCACCCGACTGCACCATCTCTCTATAGGCTGCTCTCATCCCGCTGGTGTCCTGTTTGAGACCAAAGTAGTGAATCAGACTGACATGATGATATCGATTGAATTGAAAACCTCGGTTTATCATTTCCTGGTATATCATCTCAGCGAGACTGAATTTACCAGCTTTTGATGAAACATCGAAGAGGATGTTGAAAGTCACATCAGAGGCGCGAATACCTGCGGTCTGCTCCATCTCACGCCAGAGATGGAGCGCGGCTTCAACCTCTACTTCTGTTGATCTTCCAACATACCGACTAGCAAATGACATGGCGGTGTTCCATTCAAATGTGGTTAAGGGGAAGCCGCTATTCTTTACGTCTGTCACCACTGAAAAGTACCGTAACATAGACTTGGAGTCTTTCCGTTCAGTCATTCCTAGGACCGCAAGCAACTGATGCCTCAATCGAGCCGTAATATATGTTATACGGGGCTCAGGAAGCAACAAGTACCGGTCATATACTTCATCTAAGTCTATCGTTGCCGGACGCCTAAGCTTAAGAAGTACGATCTCTCGTAGCCTTCGAACTACCTCAGATTCTTCGGGATCTAGTCTTTGCCTAGGGTCAACAGATTGTAGGTCGACATCTTCTTTTCTATCCGAGACCGTAAGATATGGTCCGTTTGCAGGAGCATATCTTCGTAGGTAAGGGTCCCTCAAGAACTCAAGATGCTCATTTATAGAGGTATCGTCGTACTGGTCAACAATTTCAAGGAGCTCAGGTCTGGACATAGCTTCTCGCGGAGGAGAAGGGGTATCTGCTGTGTCCGTAGACGCATGATTCCATTTGCGGTTACAATGGAAATTTGAGCTGAAATAGCCAGGACTTGAAGGCCGATGGCCCGGTGTCGTTATCGCCGAGTTGATGTATCTTGCAGATGTAAAGGTGCAAGATATCTTGAGCCTTTTCCTAATCTGTACCGAGGAAGGGCGGCCGGAGACGGTAAGTAAACCCTCACAACTAGCTTCTCTATGCCCATCACGTATTTTCGTGGTATATAACGAGGGCGCAGAGCTTAAGCTTGGCGAGGGTCGACGGGAGAGTATCGCGCCGTAAATCGACCCGTAAATTCGAGTAAAGATTCTCATGAGCTGTCCCGCATGTTGGTCCAGTCATCACAGCTTCTCTGTGGACCTCTATGGACTCGACAACATAGGTGTGACGGTGACGTAGAGAATTCAAGAAATTTTGCGATTCCAACTTTTCTTGATGATGGCGGGCCGGTTGCGTTATCGCAGCGTTAAAGAAAAATGCCACTGATAAGAAGTGCAGGGTTTCTAGCTTCCCGCAGTACATTACATCTATGTGAGTTTTATAGTTCGGTACTTCCTTCGGGGCTAAGCTAGTAGCTTTAAAGGTACTCCACGTCTGTCTTTTATGGTTTTAATGTGACATGCTAGTTGCAGGTACACGAGCTAGCTTCTGTAAAATGTACATATAGGTACCTATATAAGAAACTACAAGCAACACCTAGGAAAATCGATTATCCCCGCCAATCGAGGTCCACCTAAGCACTTGATTATGCGACTTTCAAACTAGGTACCTAATTTTCTAAACTTCCATTATCTAAACCACCTCTGAACAATTGGATTCGACTTATCCTACACCCCCGACGTAGCACCAATTGCTCGGGTCTCGCCCTCCTCTATACGGTATAAGGGAGGATAGGGGCGTTGACTTCCGTGTAATGCGCCATGGGTGGTCAAAGACAGATCTTGCCTGGTAGGGTCTACCAGACGGTCACGACGTTAATGAACCATCGCATCTTCCCAAATGTTCGGGTTCAGCAGCCGTCATGGTACAAGGTGGTCGAGTCGATACCCCCCTCCGAAATGCTCACGAGGCCATTTCCACCTCAACACAAGAAACCGAACCCCAAGGTACGAAAACCAAGCAGGTTATTCCAACCGCAAGAATTAGTATACGAAGAGGACGGGCTACGGAGGACCTTTTACAAAGATCACCCCTGGGAGCTAGCAAGGCCGAGGATGATAATTGAAATGGACGGAAAGGATGCGCAGAGATACGACTGGTCTAAAGGATTAATACAGCCGGGCATGCCCTTGTGCGGCGAATGGTAAGCGTCCTGTATTTGCGCATTACGGAGTCGGATAGAATATAGGTTAACGACCCTTGCAGCGTTGTTCAACGTCAGTTATGGATGATGCATAATGTCCCAGACATAACAAAAGATCAAGCATACGACATAGTGCGGAGGGAGTTTTACGCATTGCGACAGCAAGAGGAGGTCGAGCGCAGGATAGCCAAGGAAGAGGCTCAGATGGTGGGCGCATATTTCGGCAAGTCCTACTTACAAGTAGGTATGGAGCTCGAAGATAGGGAGTACGAGCAATGGAAGAAGTGGGCTGGCAGGCAGATCGAAGCAGTCAAGGCGGAACGTGATTCGGCCTACACAAGCTTTGGGGATGACGTTGACCTCGATAAGATTGACGTGGAAGAGCTCACGGCAGAAACAGAGGAGGCTGTTCCAGTACAGAAACCAGCACAGAAACCAGTACAAAAATAGGCCCAGCAAAATGCCTCAGTTATTAAATGTACCACAACTGTACGAATTCTACACATATACCACCACTAAGCCCCCCTTTAGTCGACTTCACGACTTCCCGAGTCAGTGAATGGGGTAATTACATTACAAGTCCTATGATCCCCCATTAATAAATGATGCTCGCCGAAATTAACAATGGATATATTTCTTTGCACTTTTGCACTACGGCTCCTCGGGTATCGAATTCTCCAACTGTTCTATCCGAAGAAGGTAGGTTTGCCTCTATGTTAAGCGTATTAGTAAACGGCTGTATGGTTAGTCGGCTTGGGACTTACAATTGCTCTCAACTTTCGTCGGTCTTCCTCATTCGACGCTCTAGGAACGAGTTGTGATAGAAGCGCACATGCTTCTTGATAGTACTTTCGAGCGAAAGCATATGATTGGGTATTGTCGAGTTGAACGGCGGTATTTGCCTTGGCCAGCGCCGTAGCTAGCATTGCCTTTGACGACGGCATCTTAGTAAAATGTCTGTAGTATTATTATTGTTGTGTTTTTAGAGGAAGGAAGCTGTTGATGATATTTATATAAATAGATGAAACTCATTGGGTGTTAGTATCACAATTATGAGAGGAGATGGGACGATTGATCTGATACAAGGGGGTGCGGGTACTTGCATATCGCTTAATTCGGCTGACTCTTTGATGCTTCAACTCCAATAATCTGCAGGATCTGGGTTACAGATCTGGGTTACAGGGTTATTCTTTGATGCATAATTCATGTTACACTCGAATCATACTCTACTTGTAGCAAGATAATTGCTTGCTTAATCTAACAGGAGCTCCTTACCTTAGAGTTCTGCGGCCAGTTCTCGGGCAAATATTATTGGCAAGATTGACTAATAAGTTCCGTCCCACGAGCTACATAGACTCTCAGAACAATGGCTAGTGAGGCTCAAGGGAGGACATACCTCTCCTTGCTTCAAGCGTGTGATAAGTGAGTATCCTAGTAGTAATATGCTGTAGTTACTAACTATATTTAATACTCTCAAAGCTTCCCATACGACATCGTGCCCTCGGACACACACTACCTGTTGTTACTACCCAATGATGATCAACCACATGGGTATTTACTTCCCGAGATCGTCCAAAAAATGCCATGGACGTCTCACTTCCAAGTTAATCACAGCACGCCACGGACTGTGTCAGTGCTAGACTCCTCTAACGGGAAAGACACAGCTGGCGCAGTCAATGCGGCGTTCTCAGAGCTGATCAATATCTGCATCGAGCAAAACCTCTTCCACATTTTAGATGGCAAACACAGCGAACCGTTCGCCATCGTGAGCGCAAAATACCCCGTTCACATGGAGCGCTTCGCAGCCGCGCTGTTTGGCATCACTAGCCGGGGCGCATACATTACGGCGTACACCCAAACCCCCGAGGGGGAGATGAAGCTCTGGGTCGGCCGTCGCGCGGCTCATTTGTATACGAGTCCCGGGATGTTAGATGGGACAGTAGCAGGTGGCATCAAAGCAGGATCCAGCCCCCTCGAAACCATCATCCACGAAGCCGACGAGGAAGCCTCCCTCCCGGAGAACCTAGTGCGCGAGCGTGTGCGCTCGGTCGGCGTCCTGACGTACATAACGGCAACCGGCGCTGACTTCCCCGGGGAAAAGGGGCTTGTCATTCCGGACGTCATATACGTCCACGACCTCGAGCTTCCTGGCGATGTCGTCCCAAGGCCAAATGACGACGAGGTCGAAACGTTCTACTCTATGACTGTCGAGGAGGTGCAAAGGGGCCTGCTGAATGGGGAGTTCAAGCCTGATTCGGCGGCTGTACTTATTGACTTCTTCATTAGGCATGGTGTTATTACTGCGGATAACGAGAAGGATTTTGTTGAGTTGAGTATGCAGTTGCATCGAAGACTACCTTTTAGGACGCCTTGATGCTGGAATGAAGGTTTTGTGCCATAATGATCATGGGGCTATATCTAGAGAGGCGGCCGGGGAAGGATATAATTAGAAATAGATTCCGTCGTCAGCGCTTGGGGGTGGCATCTTTGAAAAGGATACCTGGGTAAATGCTAGACTGGCATTAGAGGGGTATCATGCTATTCAAGGAGGCTACTATTTCCTTGCAATCGTTAACACTTGGGCGTAGGGTATCGTGCCGAATATCAGAAGTATTAAATAGGAAAACTATGAAGTCAATTCGCAAGAAGGGCTACTATTTATTAGTATGATGGCCCAGCCGAGATGTGACTATGACCTATGGTCTATGGCCTATAGTCTATAGTCTACTCAACCTCGTAGTTTCAAAGGTTCGGGGATCAAAGACGTGGGAGGTAATGTAGGTACCGTAGTCCTATGAAGGGAATTTGTTGCTCAGTAGCGTTAGAGCCATGGAGGGATAGAAACACTTCTACGCCTGAAGTGATCTGGTAGAATAGAGTATTTGGAACAGAGAAGAAACTTATCATGGGTTGTTAATTACGAATGGCACGAGAAAACTGCGAAAATCGAATTGTGATTCCTAATACCTCCGGTCATGATTATCGGCAGTCCTAAGCCGGCAAACAAATGCCATTATGGATCGTGCCCTTTTTCTATATGAAATTCCATGCAACAGTAAAGCGTTCCCTAGCCAGCAGTGAAAATGCAACGAGTTCAGTCCTTAATCGACACCAATTTGATTTCCCTTCAATACGAAATTCCCCTTTTGCTTAATGAAATGCAACTGTTCCCTCGATCATCGTGGGCTCCTTAGTCCATACGAGACTGCAATTTGAATAGAATGAAAAAAAATCATTCAACAATGCTACCGCAGCCGGAGAAAGCTCTTCTGATCTGCCGTATTGAACTCGATATTTCCTAGATAGAATTAACAGTTAGCAAGGGAAGTAGGTATTTATCTAGTGACGTGGTCTTATAACATACCTTATGCAACCTCGGTAGAATTACTCGGTAGGCACACTAGGGATAGTCGGCATCACGACCATATTGCCAGTATACGTATGGCGGGGGTTACGTCGATGAAGCGGGCGATGCTGTATGATAAACACATCGGCCAACTGGAAGAACTTGATCAACATGCCCGAGAAGCTCAAGGAGTTAACTCGAGCCCAGCTCTCGACAAACACGCACTTCATGGAGTCTTCATGTACGAGAGCGAAGAACTTCATCAAGTAAACGCACATGAGAAACACGAGGCCGGTACCGGGGCCGTCCGTCACGATCACGCCGGGCAACTTAAACTCGGAGATGGTGGGGTTGGGGGCCGGGGTGGTTATGATGTCAAGGGCGTCGTTGCTGCAGTCGCACACGCTGAAGGGAGTCGTCCACCAGCTCTGATGAACGGCGCGACTGCGGTGGAAGAACATGATGTCGTAGGTGCCGGCGTTCAAGTTGTGCGAGGTGAAGCGGCTGTTTAGGCGGCGCTCAAAGTCCATTACCCTCTTGTAGCTTAGGTCATCGCCATATCCAACAGCCCAGCGGCGGTGCGAGTACGGGCCTTCAGATCGGATGCTGCGCTCGACCATCTTGATCATCTCGGTGGTGTGGCCACCGGAGCCGCAGACAAGGAGGACATAGAACGGCATCTCAGTGGTCCTCTTGCGCGGCCATAGTTTCCTGGGGTCCTTGCGATTCGCGACGATGGTGCGGTGGCGGTGCTATTCCCACGTTAGCGGATAGAGAGCAAAAATATTTGGGATTGGCACTTACCGGGAGGTAGAAGAAGATGAAGGTCGCGATGGATATAGCGAGAAACATCGTGAGGGCCTTGAGAGAGATGATCGAGAGAACTGCGCAGATGACGACGTAAACGCGAGTGATGCCGTAAGAAAAGATAAACGCGAGGATTTTCAGGAGAGAGCGGATGAAGTCGAAAGTGTTGCGGGTGGGCGGGTGGAGAACAATATTGTCAAGAGCTTCCATGTTGAGGATGCACTGCCAGTGTTCTTGGTTTAATGAATTAGAAGTGTTAGTGCTAGATAGAATAGTAGGGTCATCAACTGTAAGTGAGGGGGGTTCCTCGACTGCTGGGGAAGGAGTGCGCGGAGGAGTTAGGTTATTGTGGTTATTCGAGAGTTGAGAATTAGTAGTAGTGGAAGTGCCTATGGAGAAAGCACCTCCCCCATTGTAAGGGTTACCTGTCGGCCCAGATGCCATATTGTGCTTTGCGTCTGGTTATTTTTATGCGGAGAAGTAGCCTTGCTAGGTCCTGGGCGACGATGTGGTCTTTGGTGGCTTTAGTAGTGCTTCTAGGCCGCAGCGCCGGCGCCCCGGCTCAGACCTGTAGCCCGGTGGAGGTGCTGTTACGGAAGAGCTGTCTGGTTTACTACGGGGCTCCGGGGAAGGCTTATGGCTCGGACGGAGTAGCACGTGGGCTCCTACCGGACGTAGCTCTTTAGACTAGAGTAGACGCCAACTGTTCTCTGGACAATGTGTGGCTTTTGTGCCAGAGAAGAGAACAGCAGAGGTCTTTAACTGTGAGAGCTGGGCACTTTCCCTCCCCCTTTAGTGGGCCTTATTAAGTTGACGTATTAAATGTTTAGCTGGCCTTGAATTTATTAGTCCTAAGATAATATGTTAGTTGTTATTTATAAAAGAAATTTGACGCAAAAGACGAACGGTGTATTAGGGTGTAGGCGTAAGTTATGATGTGTTAGCGGGACAGTGATAATAGCCTGTAATATCAAGCTAGTCGTAAACTCTTAAGTTTGTTATGAATGCGATGGACTATCTGTCCAGATTCATTGTTTCTGGATTTATGCCATCCATAAGAGATAAGAGGTCACCTGTTAGTAAATTTGCGGTAATGTATTCCCTAGTAGTTCTTCGTGTCTGCGGGAATGAGGTGCCTTGAAAATGTGATAATTTAAACTTGGTTTATACCTATATTGTTGGCTAAGGTCGCAATTTGTTACAATCACTTTTTTCTTTGGTCGTTGCCCAGGTGGTGTTCCTTTGTTAAGTACGGCGTGAGCGGTCGGTGGCAGTAATTGCAGGCACGGCAGTGCACGTGGCAGCCGGGATACCGCCCCGGTGTAGGATCTAAACCTTCTCCGGAGAACGTGACGAAATCACCTCTAAACCATTAGAGCCTCTATAATTCTCTAGAAAACAACTATTTGGTCTCTATCCATTTGTCAGACCTTTTACTGACATGATGGTATGATTGTGTATTGCTTCTTGTTAGTCCCAGAGGCGTTTAGAATTGTCGCGTATGTGAGTTGCAGAATTGTAGAATAGGTGTTCGAAAGATGTAGACGGTAGACAGTAGACGGTACCTTACATTAGCACGAACTGTGGATCGTTGCAAGGCCTAGATAAGATCTATTTTAGTATTGTGTACTACGTCACTAGCGGTAAAAGGCACTGCGATAAGGCGTTACTAGGTACATACAGTACATACAAGGTATGTAGTTGCCGATATCAATTTTTATTGGGAACAGGGGTAACACCTTATCGCGTCGCAACCCTTGGGCAAAAACACGCTCAGGCAGAACTAAATAGACAATTATCCGCTATAACGCGAAAAGAAAAAAAAAGTCAAAGCATCACCTCGGCTTTTTTCATATTTATCGAACCTCCTAGTATCCACAACCAAAACAACCCGCTTATCCTTAATTACTACTCATTTTGCCTTTTACTGATACTGCTTGCGGCTCTGCAAACATGGCGACCTTGCGGTCGAGGAAGTTTCTAAGTTGCTTCTATTGCGGTAGAAGGTCTAGATTACGATTCGAAGGCCAAAAATCATTTCTCTGTCTGAACTGCGATGCGACAAATTGGTTAGATGAAGTAGGTACATCAAGTTCTCGAGGCCACGTCGAGATACAAATAACGTCTTCGCGCAAGGCTAACCAGATGGTAGTATGGAAGTATTACTGATCCCCCTACGTCGTCGTCCGCCGAGCGCCCTCAGGTCCAGTTCGCTATTCCTCGTTCATCGGTACCCCGCTCGCCAACGCGATCAATATCCCCGAATGGCGCAGGCTCTGAGGATTCGATCTTTTGCGGTACATGCTTAAGAAACCAGCATATGCTGACGAGTTCGCTCGCGCAATTCGAGTGGCCGGATGACCATAACAGTGCCGAATATGCTGCCCGAGAGAAGCGATATTGGGCCCTTCGAAGGGATCTTGAGAAAAGATACCCTCAGATGTGTGCTGTTTGTGAACCCAAGGTAGAGAAGAAGCTGCACGAAGCAAGCTACACAGCGCAAACCGACCACCTACGCCGAATGATGGACCGTACGCGGTCGAGTCGACAGGAAGTGAAGAGGCGAGGAATTCTAGACGCCGTCGACTGGGCGGGGAGATGGATATGGAATCTTGGCTTCGCACTCCAGTTCATATGGCACATCGCTATGCTTTGGTCTCTTGTTGTAGGACTATACGGTCTAAGCGGAACAGATTCGCGGATGACTAGGATTTTGAAGAGCGTACATCAGTACGGCAACAACCGATTACCTCGCACAGATCAACTCATGCAATGGGCGATTGGTTTCGGATTATGTTCACTTCCGTGGAATCCGCGCTTCAAACAGACGATACGGGGCTTTACGGCGCATTATCTCGGATTCAAGCATTGGTACACGTACCAATTTCTTATATTATTGGTACGATATGCCGGCCTCTCGATGGCACAGTACAGCTCCTCAGAAGGGCTGCAGATGCCAGCCCAACTAGGCGCACAACTCGCCATAGCTTTATTGATGACCATTGTAAGTTTAGGTGAACCTTTACACGCGGATTTGCACTAAGACAAAGTCTAGATCTATCACGCATCGCGGAAGTCTATTCGTACAGATACGACACCTCTCTTTCGACCTCGTCAGAAGGTAAATAGTTCGCAAAAGTCCCCAGTTGCGTCAAAATCGCATAGGGATCAAAACGACCTTGGCAGCATACTGGATGAAATATCCCAATCACGTGTTGAGCCTGCACCATATTCTCCAGAAAGTCCGAACGCTTATCAAACAACCGCGGATAATATGCCCTTCGCTGGCTCCTTTAGTAGCTCTTTTAGTAGACCGCACGAAAACGGGGGGACTTCTGGTCCATCTTTCAGTTCTATGCGTCTATCCGACCCTGTCATAGTCAAAAAGCCGGAGCCTAAGACAGTTCACTACGAGGAAGAAATGGATTGGACGCCGTCCGCTTCACAGCACCGAGCGTTTAGCTCATACAATCCGTATAAGGTGAAGAACACTAACCCACGCTTTAGCGATGTCCCCATAGAGGCCAAATCTGGGCCCATCTGGTACAAGGTACCTCCAGCACCTACCACTCCCGCACAGAAGCTACGCAACCCTCCCATGCGCCCGATTATTAGAGAAAGCCCAAAGGAGGTAAAGGAGAACTTCTTCCAAAGCACAGCCAGGGGACCTCTAGACATGGGATCATCGATTCAAGGCAGCTTGTCAGATATCAACTTTGCCGAACCAAAATTCTTTGCGCCGGAAGATAAAGACGATCCGCGAGATAATCTCTCGAGGATGTTTGCGAGTTCGTTCAGCATTAGTCCAGATCCAGATGAAGAGAGGTATCGAAACCCTAGGCGCGCGGCTACAAATTCTGTCTTCGGTATTCGCCAGAGCGCCCGTGGTGCAACAGATAGACAAAACCACCGTGTTACGCGTTTCGTAGAGCTATTCGTGCTCGCCGGGGCGCTCTACGCGTGGGTTTCAGCTTTGAAAACGGATGAACCTTATGGCCTTAGCCTTGCTCTAACTTCGATTATTGCCTGTCTTATCGTCTCTATTCGACTTGCTGCCGATCTACAAGTTGACATTCAGCTTAGAGAAGGGAAACAGCCCCCAATGTTTTCTCCGTCGTGGGCGAATTTGGGGTTGGCGCAGGTAATATCGTCACTCATCCTTGCGTGGAGTATCTGGTCAGGAATTGGGACCAAATCTCCCTGGAGTACATATGGCAGTGCTCATATTGCAACTGTGTTCGTTCATCACATGGTGCATATCTTCTTATAGGAATTATAGCGGGCTTGGAGCTAAGAAATGTACCATATAGAAATGGGATTGCATGGTACAGGTTGGGAAGTTTGGATTAATGGCATAATGATATGGCATGGCATAGCGTTCACACTTGTATTACGTAGAACAAAAGGTGGAATAACATGATTGCATGGGGCATAGTCAGGAGTTTTCGGTTTCCGCGGGCAGCATACATACATACATAGGACTTTGAAGGAAGATACCCGAGCATCATTCGGAGACTTCAATGGAAGAGACATATGTACATGTGTAAGGGGAAGAAGTACCTTAGTACCGAAATTGATCGATAAGATTAGACTTCCCGAGTCCCTGGTCCTTAACAGTTACACATATACATACATGCATGTACACTATACGTTTTAATTTACATAGGTGCATGAGGCACTAGGTTAACAAAGAATATGTACCTAATCATGAATTTTCTGAAATAAAAACAGGATACGTTACCCCCGTGACTTAAATTGCATCGGGCTTTGGACTGTCAATAAACTCGAAGTCTAGCTGAAAATAGTAGCCCTCACATCGCTGGAACGTACTATGCAGTAGGGTATCATACGATAAGTGATAGGCGATAACGCCACTGTCAGGCTGTTAAGTTGCTGCAAGAGTAACTGCGGAATGCTCGGTCAGGTTAGGTCAGACGAAGCTCATTTCCTCCGAACGCTAATCCGAAAGCTAGAGAAAAACGATTGGACCCCCTAAAAATTCGTAGATCTTTAACCTAACCTAATACTTCATTATCCGAGTCCCCTGACTTTGTTCTAACTCTTACTTTTTGAATATCCTCGTTCTCTTTTCCGTCCTTTCGCAAGTCTTCCTTCTACGTGAAGATTTTACTTGTTCCTCCGAGTTACCGGGTTTCTTTATTCTCTAATATTTTGTCACTCCTTAAAATAAGTTACAAATTTCGCACACACAAAGATGCCTGGTCGAACGCTACCGACCCTCACGCAAGCTGAGGTTGAGTCGCACAACAGTCAGAAGTCTTGCTACGTCACAATCGGTACCAACGTTTACGATGTGACCGACTTTGTCGAATCCCATCCTGGTGGCCCCGACCTGATTCTCGAGTACGCTGGAAAAGATATCACTGCGATTCTAAAGGACGAAATCTCCCACAGGCACTCCGATTCAGCATACGAGATCTTGGAGGAGTATCAGACCGCCTTTTTGGTGACGGATAAACTCGCGCCCAACGGAGATGTACAGAAGAGGATTGCCGACCCCCAGACCAACGACAAGCTCTCCCCTTCTGTTCACCCGCGAACGGGAATGTCCTGCGAGGAAGACCTGAGCAAGGACACAGACTACACCACCGACTACAAGGAACACAAGTTCCTCGACCTGAATAAGCCCCTCTTGATGCAAGTATGGTTCGGTGGCTTCAGCAAGAGGTTCTATCTTGACCAGGTCCATCGACCAAGACACTACAAGGGCGGCGCCTCCGCACCTTTGTTCGGAAACTTCCTCGAGCCCCTCAGTTTAACACCTTGGTGGGTTGTCCCTATGATTTGGCTTCCTGCGATTGCCTACGGCGTTCACCTAGCCTCTCAAGGATACGACAGCAACCTAGGATTAGCTACTAGCTTCGGCAGTGGTGTGCTCTTGTGGACTCTTATAGAATATGTTCTGCACCGATGTCTTTTCCATCTTGACGAGTATGTTCTACCGCCAGTATCCATTATAACCATTTTGCTAATAATAAAATTACAGATATCTACCGGATAACAGAGTTGGAATCACGCTGCATTTTCTACTTCATGGTGTACATCACTATCTCCCGATGGACAAGTACCGTCTGGTGATGCCCCCGACGCTCTTTGTGATACTCGCAACCCCCTTCTGGAAGCTTGCACATTCGATATTCTTCTGGGACTGGCACCTCGCCACGGCTGTCTACTGCGGAGGTATCTTCGGATATGTCTGCTACGATCTGACTCACTACTTCCTACACCACCAAAATCTCCCTCTCTGGTACAAGGACCTCAAGAAGTACCACCTTGCCCATCACTTCCTGGACTACGAACTGGGCTTCGGCGTAACCAGCCGATTCTGGGATCGGGTGTTCGGCACCGAGCTGATCACCGTGGTTAAGACGGCCTAGGTCTAGACGGCTGCTTCATAAGAGACCCATTCTGTATACATGGGCATGGCGATATGTATTGAATGGGCATAATGTGAAATGGAACTGGGAAGTGAGATTCTAGGTATAAGGTGGGCAGATTTTGGCGTTTGGTACCTAGTATGACCCGGAAGTATGGGGATATTCAGCTTAATCCGCACTCGGCTCATACCTCTAATTAATGATTTCTGTTTACATTGATTGGTTCCTGACTTGCTTAAAAGTAACTTGGAGTAGAAATATACCCCTTATTAACCCATTAAATGCTTTGCTTCACAAGTTAGGTTTGCCTCATTTATTACATAAATTTACAATTGGCCCCTACCTCATCAACATATGACTATGTATTAAGTAAGCATATGCACGGACATCCATATGTAATTCTAAGCTTAGGTAGTAAGTACCTTGTCACAGTAATGGTATTTTTACCCGGAAAGACCGACATGTCAGCTTTTTCTGCAGGCATCTTCTCCTGCCACCCCTCTCATCTTTTACTTTCCAAGTTACATATGTGATGTCCACCTAGGACCCATTCAATCTCGCCGACAGTTCGTAAGTACCTTTGTTATTTTAACAGTACTACATACCAAATTAATTATCTACTCAACTTTTATCTCGCCGACAAAAGGAAATACTTGATTAGCAACCCTAATTACGCCAGAGGAAGTCGCCGATTCCTAAACTTCTAGTCTTGCTCTGACCTATTTGAAGGTTTCATTCAAGATGGCCACCCTTGACGTTGAGGCTTTACTTGATGCCACTGCTAGCAACAAGAATGATACCAAGGAGACCGGACCTAAAGATTCTGATGATCGCGTAAAGTCCGACCGAAACGAACGTAGAGACCGCGACCGCAGCCCTGGCCGAAGACGCGATCGTAGCAGCGACCGCGGACGACGTGACCGGGGTGATGACAGAGAAGCTACACCTCGTAGCGATGCGGGTAGCCACAAAAGTAGGCGTAGAAGTCGGAGCCGTGATGATGACCGTCGACACTCACGTCGTCACAGAGGAGGCGACGGAGATTACTACCGCAGCGGCGGACGCGGCCGAGACCGCACTCGCTCGCGATCTCCTCGTCGGCACTACCGCCCAAGGGACGACCATCGCGACCGTGATCGTGAGCGCGATGAACGCGGTAACTTTCGAGGCAGGGATGAAGATAGGCCTAGAGGAGGTCGTACGCCAAAGCGTGATCCGACTCCCCAACTAACCGAGGACGAGCGAGATCGCCGTACCGTATTTGTCCAGCAGCTAGCTGCTCGTCTTCGCACTAAGGAGCTAAAGGAGTTCTTCGAAAAAGTTGGTCCCGTTAATGAGGCTCAGATCGTCAAAGATCGTATAAGTGGCAGGTCTAAAGGGTCAGTGTTCATACTCAGGCATGGTTATTCAAATCCCACTTTGCTAACGATGATTACAGTGTTGGCTATGTTGAATTTAAAAACGAAGAATCCGTTACTGCTGCTCTTCAGCTCACAGGTCACCAACTCCTAGGTATCCCAGTCATCGTCCAGCTTACCGAGGCTGAGAAGAATCGCCAAGTTCGTACCACCGAAGGCTCAGGCTCTCATGCCAATTCAATCCCCTTCCATCGACTCTACGTAGGCAATATTCACTTTAGCATTACCGAACAAGACTTGCAAAACGTCTTCGAACCCTTCGGCGAGCTCGAATTTGTCCAGCTTCAAAAAGATGATACAGGTCGTAGCCGTGGTTATGGATTTGTACAGTATGTTTTCGTATGTTTGTTTCAAATGGCGAACTTTACTAACTTGGGCTTATTAGGTTCCGTGAAGCCGACCAGGCTCGTGAGGCGCTTGAGAAGATGAATGGGTTTGACCTTGCTGGTCGTCCAATCCGTGTTGGTCTTGGTAATGATAAGTTTACCCCCGAATCAACTGCCAATATCCTACAGAGGTTTCAGGGTCAAAACCAACCATACCAGGGTTCCGCATTCTCCGGTGCTGGCGGACGAGGACCTCAAGCTTCCGGATTCGACCGAGCAGGAGGTCGTGATAACGACAAGGCGACGGGCGCAAGCGCCCTAGATGACACTGATGTTGCGGGAGTCAATTTTAACAACTATAGTCGCGATGCCCTAATGAGAAAGCTTGCCCGAACCGACGATGCTTCCAACGGAAGTCGTGATGAGAGGCAGATTCTCAAGCCCAAGACAGAAACTAAGCCGCTACCTATGAATGTTAATATGGCAAGTCGCTGTGTTGTTCTTCACAACATGTTTGATCCAGCTGAGTATGTCCTCTCCATTTAAGATATTGTCTTATGCCGACACTAACTAGCGGCTACAGAGAAGAAGGTGAAAATTGGATTAAGGAATTGGAGGATGACGTTCGACAGGAAGCCGAAGAGAAATATGGTCACGTAGTCCATATTTCCCTCGATCCGAACTCGCCGGGCGATATCTTCCTCAAATTCGACAAGGTTCAAGGAGGCGAAAACGCCATTAAAGGGCTCAACGGTCGCTATTTTGGTGGACGGATGATCAGCGCTGCGCCTGTTGTGGACGCCGTCTACAGCAGTTTGTTCTCTCGTACTAAGGCTATTTAAGATGCTAATCGTTGGCCGGGCCTATCCCGTTCTAGGAACTTTTCCCCGTAGGTCTCTAATGCTACCATATTATAAAGTGTCCTGTACTGATTCGAGGAAAATAGATTCCGTCCGCACTACCATTTCTTTACACGGACGTCGGCCAAGGCCGCATTTCGTTCCATTCGCCTGTCAATTTGGTAAACGACATTCAGCGCAGCATATTATCCGAGATCAAACGACATACTCTCCCAGTCGTGCCACAAAATCCATACTTTCCGCGCTGATTTTACAATAGAAGCCCCCTTTTCAGAGGA